CCCATTTACAACTCTACTCCAAACAACAATTTTTTTATTTGATAATAAAATAATTTTTAGATCACCTACCATACTAGTTGATATTTAATGTTTATTTATTATTATTAATGTAGTTTATATTTTTTAAAGTGTTTTTTAAATTACTTTCCATATAAAAAACATAAAATTAATGTTTTTTAAGTATTTTTTGATGATTTTAATATGTTGATGTTGAATATAAAAAAAAACATCTTGATATATTTTCAATTGAAAAATAATTTTGAAAAGCACCACACATCATATTACTAAACACATATTAAGTAAAAATTCATTATATTTTAATTATATATCTTTCGGATCAACTTTGTGGTTGACATATTAAAAAATTAAAAAATTCTTTTTAATCATTTTAGGATTTAAAAATATAAAAAAGTATAACTTCTTGATCATTAAATTAATCCTTAAAGTTAATTAGATGCAACACTCCTTCAAAGACACCTTGGCATATCTACAAATGAGGATTGCTACCTATGCTATAGTCGAAAGGATCAATAAGGGCTGGTGTTAGGGGAAAAAAAAAAATGTTTGCCTATGCTGCTTTCAGTAAGTCATTCACACACCATTATTCATAACAAAAGGATATTCAGTGAACAATAGTAATGTTTGGCTCACTATCATGTTAATTAGATGCAACACTCCTTAAAAGACACCTTGGCATATCTACAAAATGAGGATTGCTACCTATGCTGTAGTCGAGAGGATCAATAAGAGCTGGTGTTAGGGGAAAAAAAAAATGTTTGCCTATGCTGCTTTCAGTAAGTCATTCACACACCATTATTCATAACAAAAGGATATTCAGTGAACAATAGTAATGTTTGGCTCACTATCATTTTCATTTCCCGTTGAAATTTCATAAAAAATAAATAAAAAAATGGCAACATTTAATACTTTTGTTGAAAACTAGCACTATTCACTAAAAATAAATTGATAGAACGACACAGTTTCAAAAAAAAAAAAGAAGGTAAAATAGCATAATTTGTGCTTGTCACACAACATTCCTTTTTTTTTTTTTTTGATTTACGTGGGGTGTTTGGGCCAGCTTACGCGCACCACGACTAATCTCCACGGCCCACTGAACACCCTACAAACCCAGCAGGCAGGTAAGGCAGCGCGGGGCTGACAGGCATGCAACTCCAAAGCTCGAACCCGTGACAGCAGAAGACGCAAGACGCCATTCCACCGCTTGTCACACAACATTCTTGAAATGTCGCGATAATAGATCATGCTAGCTTAAGATATTTTAATTTTGAACTGCCACATGTCATAAAATAAAACCTATCATTTTCTTTCCCCTTCCCTCTCTCTCAATTGTCATTGTCCACACCTCCTCTCTCTCTCTCTCTCTCTCTCTCTAAAAAAAGGAAATTAATATTCTCTTATTTAGCTTTCAAACACCTAAAAAATTCATTCATTTTATCTTCTGGTGGACAGGTGAACGAAGATAATAAGATTGATTATTAAATTTAATTTGAATATTGATATTGTTTTGCATTTATAGGTGAAAGAAATGAAATGAATAGCCATTATATAAGTGCCAATACAGCAATGAATAAGAAAAGATAATAAGTTTCCTGATTTTTTCTTGTAAAATGCCCTAAACCAAAGAAATTACAAGAAACTGAAAGGGGTAAAAAAAATTTATTTATCATGCAATTCACCATAAATCAAAAGGAAATTTTGATTATAATATGCGTTAAAAATAAAGAAATGAAAATAGCAAATATTGTTATTATGATGTAATTCATCTTAAATCCATAAGAAATTTTGATTAAAAACTATTTGAAAATCAAAACAATTATAAGAGAAGAAACATTGCACAAAGTGTAATTTTTATGCAATTCACTATAAAAAAAATTTATGCAATTCACTATAAATTTTTATGATTTAAAACTGCTTGAAAATAAAGAAAAATAATACAAAAAAAATAAAAAAATTTAGTTATTATATATTTCATTTTTATTCCAAACTTAAAGTTTGCACTTTAAATTCGAGGTTAGTTTTTAGAGTTAGGGTTTTGGAGTTCAAAGTTATAGTTTAGGGTTAGTTTTTTTAGTTAAGAGTTTAAATTAAGGGTTGTTTTTATAGTTAATGGTTTGGGGTAAGGATTAGTAAGGGATAGAGTTTTAGATTTAAATTAGTGATAAGATTTTAGGTTTGTATTAGAATTAATATTTATGATTTAGAGTTTGAGGTTTTAAGTATAGTTAGAATTAGGGTTTGGATTAGAGTGATGTTAGTTTTGTTTTACTATTTAGGTGTGTGTTAGGGTTAAAAATTAGTGAGGTTTTCCATTTGGAGGTAAATTTTAAGTTAATTTAGGGTTTGACATAAATCATGGTTTTTAATTGAGATTTTTTTTATATGTTGTGTTTGGGATCCATATAAAGCATAAAAGCATGTTATTTAACTAAAACTTTTCTATTTTTGTTATTTTGTTAAAAAAAATATATTTTTAATATGATAAATAAATAGGTGATTTGTGTAATGCCATAGACCAACCTAACTTTTTTTTATTATAAAAAAGGAATGTTAAGGTGACACATTATGAGAGAAGAAGAGAACTAGGACTTGATTTATTTACTTCATCGAGTTTAATGAACTCGTATAATTTTGGATGCTATGAAAAAAATTATTAAAAAAAAATAATAAAAAATATTTAAATAAACTTGAGTTAACTTATTTATTCCATCATCATCATGAACATATAATTATGTTTAACTCTAGAGATAGAAAAATAAAAAAAAATATAAAATTTAATTCTTAATAAATCAAACGTGAATTTTAAGATTGGAAAAAAAAATCAAATCTAATAAAATACCTTAAAAAGGGTTTGTATTAGAATTAATGTTTATGATTTAGAGTTTGAGGTTTCAAGTATAGTTAGAATTAGGGTTTGGACTAGAGTGATGTTAGTTTTGTTTTACTATTTAGGTGTGTGAGAGGGTTAAAAATTAGTGAGGTTTTCCAAGTAAATTTTAAGTTAATTTAGGGTTTGACATAAATCATGGTTTTTAATTGAGATTTTTTTATATATATTGTGTCCGGGATCCATAGAAAGCATAAAAGCATGTTATTTAACTAAAACTTTTCTATTTTTGTTATTTTGTTAAAAAAAATATATTTTTAATATGATAAATAAATAGGTGATTTGTGTAATGCCATAGACCAACCTAACTTTTTTTTATTATAAAAAAGGAATGTTAAGGTGACACATTATGAGAGAAGAAGAGAACTAGGACTTGATTTATTTATTTCATCGAGTTTAATGAACTCGTATAATTTTGAATATTATGAAAAAAATTATTAAAAAAAATAATAAAAAAATATTTAAATAAACTTGAGTTAACTTGTTTATTCTATCATCATCATGAACATATAATTATGATTAACTCTAGAAATAGAAAAATAATAAAAAAAAGATATAAAATTTAAATCTCAATAAATCAAACGTGAATGTTAATATTGAAAAGAAAATCAAATCTAATAAAATACCTTAAAAAAACCAAATTCAACCTGTGATTTTGGTCATGAGTTCAAGAGTAATCCCAAATAAGATAAATACTAAAAAATAACAGAATAAAAATCTTAATTATAAAATAATAAGGGATGAAATTGAAAAATTATTTAAAACAAAACAAATAATAATAAAAAATGAGACCAAATTTGATATATAAATAAATCAAGATCAAATATTAGGGGGTGAGATTAAAAATAATAATAAAAAATAAGTAGCAATTAAAAGAATGAAAAATAAATTTGATATATAAATTAAATAAAATAAAATTATAAAGAAAAAAATCAATTTATAATTTTTTTTAAAATAACAATAAAAAGAAGATTAAACTATATATAAAAACAAATAAAAAGAAATTTTATATTTCAGTAAGAAAAAAAAGAAAAAGAAAAAAAAGAAGAAGAAAATCAACCATCGCCGCACCATTAATCCGTTGCCAACGCAGGCTCCATCACTAACAAGCCCTCGATACTCCATTTTGAACACTATCATGGAAAATAATGTTGAGCTGATAGAAAGCTACGATACGAAGCTTGGAAGGTGTGGATCTTCCACATGCTGGAATATGCATTATAAGTGCTAGCCTTTTTTATTTTTAAATTTATTATATATATGTTAAAAGGCCTACTTGCCCTGAATCTTTTGTATAATTATGAAAAACAGTTCAAAGAAATAAAATGTTAATGGTAGCAAGGTAATTATAATGTGAAAAAAAGACAGAAAAGTAAAAAAAAACACTTTTTTCCAAGTTAATTTTTTTTATATAAAGAGTAAATTAGTAATTTTATTATGTAAAAAGGATAAAAATAAATTGATTTATCTGATTTAAATTAGTGATGTCTATTGAACTGTGAAAAGACTATTTTCCCCTTTCAATTTATATTTCTTCGAAGGACAAAAATGACATTTTCTATAATAATTCACAGCACAATGAACGTGATGTTTTACTGAGCACTTAAACAGTTCCAAAACAGTCAATAACTCAACAACCACGCCTGAGACGAGAGAAGAAAACTAAGTGAAGTGATAAGAGGATTGGAAAGCACAGAGCAAGGAGGTGAGAGCGAGACCACCTCGAATGGACAAGGCATCCTTTCAGATCCTCATGTCGTTACAAGCCTCTCACTCACAGATAAGGTGGCCCCACCTCATCACCATCACCCCCTTCCTTCATGACATTACCAAAGAACAATAATCCTCGACCAGAATAAAATCTTCCATCACAAAAACAAATGCTATAATATGTCAAATTAAAAAGAAAAATCTCCCTCCATTATTTCTACCATGGCATCTCCCCCATAAAATATTCCCATATTCTTACTTGACTCTCAAACACGTGTTCACCGCTGATTAGGTCGCGTGACCCGCACGGGATTCTTCAACTCTGATCCGCGACCCCCTTATCCTAAATCAAAACCATCAGAGAGGTTGCGCATTGTATTAACGTGCACCGCGAAGCAGGGGATGGCGAGTAAATTGAAAAGCGAAACAGGAGGCAATTAACCGCTCTCTCGAGGGGGCAAAAAAAGGGTTTAAGAGCACACTCTAGGTACCAATATCACATTTCTCTCTCTCTCTCTCTCTCTCTCGATCGATCGAAGTTCAGCCATGGAGTCACGCGTCTTTTCACGTGCCCCCACCATCGCTCACGTGCGAAGGCCACTGCGAGAGAGCCACAGCAACACCAGTTGCAGCTTCATCTCGATCAAACCTATCGGAGCAGTCGGTGAAGGCGGGAATCTGATATGGGGAAGGCAACTGCGGCCATCATTGCTTCTGGAAGCACCTTCTCCTATGAATGCAAGGAAGGATATTCTCCGGCCGGTTATGGCCGCAGCTTCATCTCCGGCAGAAGGAAGTGATTCCTCCGGGTGAGGTCCGTTTCCTCCGTTCTGACTCGGTCCACTCGCTCCGTGTCGGAATCTGACTCGGTTTTGTTCGTGTTTTTGACTCGGTGTTTTTGCAGGGATGGGAAGGTCGCTCCGATTGGGTTTTTCGACAAGTATCCGGCACTTGTAACAGGCTTTTTCTTCTTCATGTGGTACGTAGTAGATCACGTGACTTCATTTCCTTTCCATTGAACAATCACGTGACTTGAATTAACAAATCCCAGACGGTCAAGCTTCTTGTCTCGTTTTATGATTTTATGGATTTTATTTTAAGACAATTATTTATAACTTAATTTTCAGGTACTTTTTGAACGTGATATTTAACATCCTTAACAAGAAGATTTACAATTACTTCCCCTATCCATAGTAAGTATTAGTTATTAGTTAGTTGCTAATTATTATATTATATTATATACTTAGTTAGTTGGCGTTTCTGTGCTTTGATGGAATGTTTTGTTGATGGTGTCCTGTGTAGTTTCGTTTCGGTGATTCATTTGTTTGTTGGAGTGGTATACTGTTTGGTGAGCTGGACCGTGGGCCTTCCAAAGCGCGCTGTAAGTTAAACCTCGATTAATTAATGCTTATTTCCTGTTCTAAGATGGGATTGTTTGGCTGATTTAGGGAAGATGATTGTGTTTTATTAACAGTTTATGGTTACCTTACATGTAACATGTGTATAGATCGTGATTGTTCTTTGACAAGTCTCTGGTTTTCAGGGATAATGCCTGTGAGGAAACAGGGGTTGTCCTTGAATTGGGAAGATTACCTTGTATTTGGGACTTGGTGAAGAAATATGAAGATTGATAGTATTTGTACTAACTATTGCCATTTAAACATTTAAAGTTCTTTTTTTTTTTAGAGGGTATGATTTTGAAGGAACCGTGAGTTTCCTGTCTTAATCTTATTGTCTATGTGTCATATGGTATTAGGAAGATGATTGCTGAAGCTCAAGAGCACTGATAATGCATTACTTATTCTCTGTGTATTGCGTGCAGCCTATTGACTCAAATCTCCTGAAGCTTTTGATTCCCGTTGCTGTCTGTCATGCATTAGGCCATGTGACCAGTAATGTCTCTTTTGCGGCGGTTGCTGTCTCCTTTACACACACAATCAAAGGTGACATCAAGAAGGCACTTTATTATCCAAATTTATGGGAAGACAATTTTCTTGCTTATCAACACTGTTTTATTAGGACATTTTAACCTCTCAAGAGTGGTTTCCTTATTTACAGTCGATTGTGTTTCATTACAGCACTTGAGCCCTTCTTCAATGCTGCTGCTTCTCAATTCGTACTGGGACAGTCAATACCGATAACTCTGTGGCTATCACTTATGCCTGTCGTTCTTGGTAAGCTTTCTCTTTTATTTCTGCAATAATATGCCATCTGACTGTACTCAACCGACATTCTATTGGGATGCAAAATCATGTCTACTCATTATTTCCCCCACTCTCCTATTAATTTGAATTGTTTGCGTAATCAGAAACTCTAACTTGATTATTATAATACTGATAAGGTAACACAAATTTTGAATGACATTCCATTGTAAATTAAATGCAGGTGTTTCCATGGCATCGTTGACTGAGCTCTCATTCAATTGGACGGGCTTTATTAGTGCTATGATTTCCAACATCTCCTTCACTTACAGGAGTCTCTACTCAAAGAAAGCTATGGTAATTCAATGAAGCTTTTGTTTGTACTATATGAGCAACTGCTCGCTGATTAATTATTAAGTACTTCCTAATGATTGCTTCTTTTTTTATCCCTGCAGACTGATATGGACAGCACTAATATTTATGCTTACATTTCTATCATTGCACTCCTTGTCTGCATTCCACCTGCCATTCTTGTGAGTATGAAAGCATTGATGCCCGTGGAGATTTCTACTTACAAGACCATATTAAAAATCTTAATCATTCAGTTCATAAAATCTCTTCTTATTTGAGTCACGTTTGCCTTTGCAGGTCGAGGGACCTCAACTGATCAAGCATGGCTTTAATGATGCAATTGCTAAAGTGGGCCTAACCAAGTTCATCTCAGACCTTTTTTGGGTTGGAATGTTTTATCACCTCTACAATCAGGCAAGAACTTTCTCCTGATCTTCTCATGTCTAAACAATTTAGTCATATAAAACAATGCATCTGGAGGCATTGATGTTTACATGCATTTAGCATAACAGTTCCACACTTTTCCTGAAGAGTTTTTTTTAGTTATTTGAATGCTTGCATGGGTTTCCACAACGAGTGTTGACATATTGTGAGACTGCACTAATGATTGGGATATGCAGACAACTATTCTGGAATATTCTAATATCCATTCCGGAGATCCATGCACTCAAATCATTATGGAAACTGTTTCAGACATCTATATAAACATTAAGGAAAAAGCATTTAAACAATAATGCCTTTGACTTACATCAACAAAATGGTAGAAGGACCCTGCAAATTAAGTAATGGTGTGGTCTCCTTTTGCATTTACACAGATAGTTCAATTCAACAACTTGCCGTTTTTATTCCCGCTGTTATCTGTAAAGCCAACTTTTTTTATCACGATACTGTTTTGTAGGATTATAAAAAGTTTTTTCCTCTTGAATTTTCAGTTAGCTACCAACACCTTGGAGAGGGTTGCACCTCTTACACATGCAGTGGGCAATGTGCTGAAACGTGTATTCGTGATTGGCTTTTCCATCCTGGTCTTTGGTAATGATTTGTCCACCACTTGATTACTCATTTGTTTTCTAACAAGTGCTATTACTACTATTATTTTTTGTGGACAGTAAAATCAAAATAACACCTAACAATTCTCTCCTTGCAGGTAACAAAATCTCAACACAAACTGGTATTGGAACAGGAATTGCAATTGCCGGAGTGGCAATCTACTCTTACATTAAGGCCAAGATGGAAGAGGAGAAACGAGTGAGTTTCATTCTAGAATACTCCAACAAACATGAGTATTCTCGGCTTATTTTTGTATTTGGGTTACAAGTTGCATTGTGCTGAGCATTATTATGTTACTTTTTGGGTTAAAATCTAAGTTAAAGAGTGATATCAGCTTAAAATATCCATTGCTGAGATCCTTTGAACATATGCACCTGTGGAAACTACCAAGGAAATTGATCTTTCTTATAAGATATATGTACTTTTTGGAGAATTAGTTTATTTGATTTACGATTTCTTTATGACCATGGAAGTGGGCAGTAAGGTCTTTAAAATGAATTACCCTAACTCTTGATTCAAATTTGGTCTCTTTTGCAGCGAGGGAAAGCAGCATGAGAAGGAAAGAGGCATTGGCCGTGGGTGAAGGAAACCTTATTTGTAAAGTCAAATTCTACTGTTTCGAAGATAAGAGCATCCTGTTGTCACTGTGAAGTTAATTTTTTTTCATTAATTTTCGTTGATTCAGAAGACAGACTATTGCCAAGTTGCAATCAGCTTATGTTGACAAGAAATAATGAGTCATTCGCTCTGTCTGAACTTCGTTGATGAGAAGCTGCCGAGGAATTTAGAGCTGTTTGAGAATATGATTATGATTATTTTTTAAAATATTTTTTATTTATAAAAGTATATTAATAATATTTTTTTATTTTTTAAAATCTGTACATCAAAATAATTTGAAAATATCAAAAACATATTAATTTTAAATGAAAAAATTTAAATTTTTTTAAAATACTTTTAAAAAACACTCCCAGATACTCTCATTAGAATGAGTGAAAATGAAATATGCATCGCCACTTGCAGAGTGTTTTTTTGTTAGGTTCACTTGGTGATGCAGCAGCGTGATAGAGGAGGCGGTGTAACTGTTGGAGAAATCCGAGGTTGCCTTCCATTTAAAAATCCTAGCTTTCCGCGAAAGATAGAAAATCAGTGTTTTTCTAGCTCTAGATTATAATTCTAAACTATAGAACTTCTTTTATATATTTTATAAAATCTGAATAAAATGAAGTGTGATTTTAAAAATGGCACACGATGTTGTTTATATAGTGATTACAACAAGAAAATCAAATAAAAAAGAATTTCTAGACACTTAACACTAGCAAACCCTTTATAAAACTAGGTAAGGAAAACCTCCATCTAGCTAGTGAATAAAAAAAACCTTCATAAAACTAGGCCAGGAAAACCCATATCTAACTATTGAACAAAAATTATGACTATTTTCGGTATACATATAGTATAGTTCTTTTAACTTAAAGGCAGTTTGATATTGTGGTGAATTGTTGTGTATAAAAATTTTAATTTTTATTACATTAATTTTTTTTATATTTATATATTATTTTAATGTACCAAGATCAAAATTAATTTTAAAAAATAACTCAACTATCCTTTTTATTTTTTTTAATTTTCTTTTTATTTTATTTTTATGTGCTGATATTAAAAATATTTTAAAAAAATAAAAAATTATTATTTGAAAATATATTTAAAAAAAATCAATGGTCAATAAACTATCTAATCCTGCTTGGTGTGCTCCACCCTCACTCTCAATCCTCAAATATGCTAGCCAATTTGGACAAACCCAATTAACCACCACAGAGCCCTTCACAAAATCTGGTCATGTACTTGAGATCCACAACTCTGTCGAATTCAGTGCCAAGGAGGGCAATGCAATGGGTGACCAACCCCGGTATCTAGGCTAGATCATGCAGGCCATGAGAAGTAACCCAGAACACATCCCTGTGTTTTGCAAGAACAGCCCGGATGTGTAAATACCTTCCCTTGCATATTTGTCATAGCCCAAACCATTCTTTTTCAAGAATTCCACGGACTCAAAAACACACAAATCCTCGGCAATATCGAAATAGAAGTTGAATTCCCATGCATCAAAACTAGTGCCCCTCTCATCCGACAATGTGATATCCAATGGGGTCATTTGAGAACATCAACGTTGAACTTCAAGTCTTTGTATCTCTCTGTCTCAGACCCATTTCTCGGTGGATCGCGTATGGAGCTAGGAAATTCGGTGTCAATAGACATCACTTTGTACTTGAACAGAGCCCTGTCCAGTCGTGACATCTCTGCCTCCGAATTGTGTTTCTAGACTTGGGTTAAGAAACCCAAATCCAAAATCAGAATATGATAGCATAAAAAACTCAATTTAGGACCAAAGACCTTAAAAGCTCGAAGCTTAAGCCCAAGTTGAGGATACATACGTGGGTTCAACCCATACAACTTTGCATACTACTTAGCTTAGGTTTGTTTTTTACCTTTTAACTTTCTACTAAATAAACTACAAGATATTCTTGATTTTTTTATATGGAATAAATGAATTTTGGGTTTAAGCCATTTTTAGTAAAATATTATTGCATTTCACTCTGCTAAAAAAAGATATGAGATTTTGAACTATTCAATCTTTTTTATAAATCAATACAATAATATTTATATAATTTTCTATCTAGATAGTTTTTATGATTCTCATTTTTAAGTAATTTTTTTTACTTGAATAACTCTTAAATTTATAAGTACTTTAAATAATTCAATCTTTATCGAAATTCTAAAAAAATAATTATATTTCTCATTCATATAAATGAATTTTCATTAAAAGTATTCAACTATACTCTATTTGATATAACAATATATAAAAATAAATAAGAACACAATCCATCATTTATCACATTATAGATAACATCTATTTTATCGTATAATAAGTAAGAAATAATAATTTCTAGGTACTGTAAAAATACTGTATGACTTAGTTTTACATTTGAGCCTAAATTTTAGAATCTATAATTAATTAGATATGATTACTATTGTTATATTCTTTCATATTGAAATGCTTTAAGCTTATTCTTCTCGATGAATTATACACAAGCTTTCTTAATAAACACTTGGTTAGCGAGTTCATAATATTCTTCTTTAATTTTACATGGTCAATAAAAATATTTTTTTAAGGCCAAGTGTTTAACGATGTCATGTATGTGATGTATATGTCTAAATTTGCCATTAAGCATGTTACTTTAGATCATTCCAATTGTAGACCGATTATCACAATTGACATAAATTATTGGAACTAGTTTTGTCTGATTTGAAATATTTACAAGAAACTTTGAAGTCATTTAGTCTCCTCACTAGTTTTATTGAGAGCTTTAAACTTTAATTCTATTATGGGTCTTATAATACATGTTTACTTAAAGGATTTACATGACACTGCAACTCCATCAAGCATGGAGACATCCATTAATTGATTTCAAATCATTAGTGTTGGATATCTCATTAAAATCACTTTACCCTTCTATTCTGTTGGTAATTAATATAGTATAACTCATAGTACAAGGTGTAACTGAAATATTTAAATTTTTTTATTGTTTTTTAATGATTGAACTTGAATAATTGGTACATCTACAAAGTTTGCTAACTAAATATGCAATATCAGACATTATATAGTTCATAATATATATCAAACTCCTAATTATTTAAAAATATTTTAGTTAGTTTATTATCTTACCTTTATTTTTTAACAAGTATCTATTTATGTCTATTTATGTTTTTACAATATTATTGTCACTTTTAAAAAGAATTTTGAAAATTTTCTCAATATAATGAAATTGAAACGACACTAATCCATTATATGTCCTATAAATATTTATTCCTAACATGACATATGTCATACCCAAGCCTTTCTTGTCAAAATTATTAGTTAATATTTTTTTAGTAGACTTGATCATAAAATCATTGTTGTTTAAAATAAGCATAGTGTCTACATGAAGATATACAATAACATAACTTTTATTTATATTTTTCATATAAATATATTTATTAACTTCGTTGATTTTGAACTCATTTAACAACATAACTTTGTTAATTCTCTCATGCCATTATTTGGGTATTTACTTCAAATTATATAATAATTTAACAAGCTTATAAACTTTCTTTTCTTGCATATTAACAACAACTCATCGAATTATTTTATATAAACCTCTTGATCAAGATAATCATTTAATGAAGTTGTTTTTACATCTATTAGATATTTTCAAATTTGTTAATAACATTAATAGTTATTAATGTTTGCATGAAAGTTATTATTAACACGAGTAAACATGTGTCAAATAATCCACATTTTCTTGTTGTTGAAGTCTCTTAACAATAAGTCTAGCTTTATATATGTTAATAGCACCATCATCTTTTATCTTTCTTTTATTGATCTATATGTGATTTAATGGTCTACTTCCGGAAGGAATATCCACCAGTTCTAATGTATAATCATTTATGATGAATTTTATTTTACTATTGAATACCTTATTCTTATAGAAAGTTTTAAGACATGATATTGCTTTAGAGTAGATATCAGATTTATTTTCTAATAAGTATGTTAGAAAACCAGAACTAAACATTTTAATCATTCTTGTCTTTTTACTCATTTTAGGCTTAACTTCATTATTTTTCAATTGATGATGATTGTTTGAGCCAACCTCAATTATTTTTTACAATTTTCTTGTGCTTCCTTCAATGAAAACACATGTTTAAAGAATGTAATATTTCTAGATTCTATAATTTTATTAAGATGAATATCATTAAAACTTGATTTGTGAACAACGAATCAATATACATTGTTACTATAAACATATCTAATAAATACACAATCCACAATTCTAAGTCATATCTTATTCTTTTTAGGATCATGTGCTACCACTTCTATAAGACACCTAAATTTTAAGGTATTTATTGGAAAGTCTTCTCAATCTCTATAATTTATATGATATATTTTCTAAAAATTTATAAAGTACTTTATTAATCATGTAACTAGTAGTTGAAATTAGCTCCCTTTAAAAGTTTTGAGGTACTTCCGAACTTATCATTTTTAAGTGTTCGGTTTTTATATTCTGTAGTATTATTTTGTCGTGGTGAATAAAAAGTGGTAGTTACCATTTTAAGAATGAAATTTACTAAATAGTGATTTGTATTCTCCAATTCTATCACTTATTATTATCTTCATTTTCTTGTTATATTTAAACATTTCAAAAGCCTTATCTTTGTTCATGGGCAAACAAATGTAGTATTATATTGTGCAATTATTTATAAAAAGCAATATAATACCTCTTTTCTTTTCTAATTTATACAAACCTTAAATCACCAATATCTAACTGAATTAAATTTAGAGATTTACTATTTTTTTAATTGTTTGAAGAGAAAGTTTTGTAAATTTTGATTCTACATGAACCTTATAATTTTTGTTTTTCTCAAAAAACCATACTTGATAATAATTTATATTTTAACATGTGACCTAACATGTGATGTCATATATCACATTAATACAAACAGAATCTTATTATTATTCTCATATATTATTACAATGGCCATCATATACTTGTTAAAGAGGTAATTGTAAAGATATTTATTTTTTACAAATATATCATTGTTAGAAATTGTAAATTTATTATCTCAAAGACATTTAAAAATTACTTCTAATCAATAACAAGTCAGACATTAAATTCTTTATAATGTCAGGAATAAAAGGCATATTATTGAGATTGAACAGTTTTTTAGAGATCATTTTTAGTATAAACTTTCCAACA